TTGTTACTGTGTCCCCTTGTTACTGTGTCCCCTTGTTACTGTGTCCCCTTGTTACTGTTTCCCTTGTTACTGTGTCCCCTTGTTACTGTGTCCCCTTGTTACTGTGTCCCCTTGTTACTGTGTCCAATCTCTGGAACATCCTGTCTTTGTCCACCTTGTCAATTCCTCTCAGTATTTTGTATGTCGTTATCATGTCCCCCCTATCTCTCCTGTCCTCCAGTGTCGTCAGGTTGATTTCCCTTAACCTCTCCTCGTAGGACATACCTCTTAGCTCTGGGGCTAGTCTTGTTGCAAACCTTTGCACTTTCTCTAGTTTCTTTACGTGCTTGGCTAGGTATGGGTTCCAAACTGGTGCCGCATACTCCATATGGGCCTAACGTACACGGTGTACAGGGTCCTGAATGATTCCTTATTAAGATGTCGGAATGCTGTTCTGAGGTTTGCTAGGCGCCATATGCTGCAGCAGTTATTTGGTTGATGTGCGCTTCAGGAGATGTGCTCGGTGTTTTTACTCACCCCAAGATCTTTTTCCTTGAGTGAGGTTTGTAGTCTCTGGCCCCCTAGACTGTACTCCGTCTGCGGTCTTCTTTGCCCTTCCCCAATCTTCATGACTTTGCACTTGGTGGGATTGAACTCCAGGAGCCAATTGCTGGACCAGGTCTGCAGCCTGTCCAGATCCCTTTGTAGTTCTGCCTGGTCTTCGATCGAGTGAATTCTTCTCATCAACTTCACGTCATCTGCAAACAGGGACACCTCAGAGTCTATTCCTTCCGTCATGTCGTTCACAAATACCAGAAACAGCACTGGTCCTAGGACTGACCCCTGCGGGACCCCGCTGGTCACAGGTGCCCACTCTGACACCTCACCTCGTACCATGTGTGTGTGTGTGTGTGTGTGTGTGTGTGTGTGTGTGTGTGTGTGTGTGTGTGTGTTTGTGTGTGTGTGTGTGTGTGTGTGTGTGTGTGTGTGTGTGTGTGTGTGTGTGTGTGTGTGTGTGTGTGTGTGTGTGTGTGTGTGTGTGTGTGTGTGTGTGTGTGTGTGTGTGTGTGTGTGTGTGTGTGTGTGTGTGTGTGTGTGTGTGTGTGTGTGTGTGTGTGTGTGTGTGTGTGTGTGTGTGTGTGTGTGTGTGTGTGTGTGTGTGGTGTGTGTGTGTGTGTGTGTGTGTGTGTGTGTGTGTGTGTGTGTGTGTGTGTGTGTGTGTGTGTGTGTGTGTGTGTGTGTGTGTGTGTGTGTGTGTGTGTGTGTGTGTGTGTGTGTGTGTGTGTGTGTACTATAAATACCACAACCAGAGTGGAAATGAATTTCTAATCAAATGTCAGAGATCAAACTAAGAGAGAGAGAGAGAGAGAGAGAGAGAGAGAGAGAGAGAGAGAGAGAGAGAGAGAGAGAGAGAGAGAGAGAGAGGAGAGAGAGAGAGAGAGAGAGAGAGAGAGGAGAGAGAGAGAGAGAGATGGATAGAAAGAGAGTCGTCTTATCAGTCAGGGCCAATTATTTTATTCATGAGGAAGAGTTAAACCCGTAGGGGAAGAGGGTCATGCAGCGCCTGGGTAATGAAGATCAATTAGCCTTTGATCCGAGGAAAAGAAGAGCAGCTCCATTCCCATAGATCAAGATCCCATACATTGTAGATAGAACCAAGCCACATATTTAGAGGGGACATGGACTAGAGCTTCACCTCTGCATTCTTAATAACTAATTACGGGCTAAGGTAGTTATGTGGTTAGGTAATTAAGTGCTTAGGTTCTTAAATGGTTAGGTAATTAGATGCTTAGGCTATTAATTGGTTTGGCAATTAGGTGCTTAGGTACTTAGATGGCTAGGTGATTAGGTACTTAGATGGTTAGCCAATTAAGTGTTTAGGTACTTAGATAGTTAGGTAATGATAATGATAATAATAATAATAATAATAATAATAATAATAATAATAATAATAATAAGTAGTAGTATATTTTAACACGTTGCAGTTCCATCACAGTGACTCACTTGGCAGTATCGACCCACAGATGGCACCTAGGAGGCACTGAGCCACAGACCTGCCAAGGCACTGCTCAAACTACCTCGTAACTCCTCTCCCGCCTCTCATCAATAGCCAATCAGAGCTCTCAGGCACCTCACAACAACTTTCAATAGCCAATCACCGACTCTGTTCTTAGCCCATCCAGGATAAAAGGTTTGTAATCTGGTACTGTGATATATCTCTCTCTCTATACTAAGGAAGGAGATTTTGAACACGGAGGGTTAGCCACACAGGATAGTCCAGTAAAGTCAGTGTGTCATCTTCGACTGTCTGTCTTGTTTCTTACCCCAGGATGCAACCCACAACAGTAGATTGACACCCAGGTGCCTATTTACTGCTAGGCAAACAGGACAGCCTGTGCAAGGTGACTAACACCCAGGTTCCTATTTACTGCTAGGTAAACAGGGACAGCCAGTGCAAGGTGACTGACACCCAGGTACCTATTTACAGCTAGGTAAACAGGGACAGCCAGTGCAAGGTGACTAACACCCAGGTACCTACTTACTGCTAGGTGAACAGGGACAGCAGGTATAACGTGATTTATTCAATGTTTCTCACAGTCAGTATGTGAGACACACGTAACTATTAATTCAACAAAACAATGGGACTGACCACCTCAAATTTACCTCTCCACTTCTTCCACTGTCTCGCATTTAAAAGTCACCTCTGAATTCGACTGAAGAAGCGAGATATATTGGTAATAAATTCTACTTATGAGAGACAACTTGTCACCTTCACACACTAACTAAAACACGTTTTAAACTGGTTAAAACTATTTTTAATATTTTTTTTATGTATTTACCTGTCTGAAGTGATTTTGAATATCCATTTGCCGTCTCATGTCTCTCTCTCCATCACAAGACATGAATCCCAGAATACAAATGTGTGTAGAATACACAATACTGATCGTGTGTGTATGATACAGAGGAATTTGAGGGGAAATACACATAGGTACATCCATTTAGGACACCTTAATGTATTTAAAGTGGTCAAGGTCCCAAAACCAAAACGTTGACATGACAGGTGTGGTAAGTGAATGCTTCTGTCTATATTAACAAGTAGTGGTGATGCACATCTTGGTAGTAACAGCATCCCTCCAGTGCTACAGGAAGATGATAGAATCAGGGGAAAGTGCCTGGACGCTGCCTCCATTTAAACCTACGATATTATCCAGGAAAGTCATGGAGTATATGTATTGGTGTTTATAAGTGATTCAAACTTCCCTTCAGCTAAATATTGTTGCTATAGAAAGGCTTTCACAGGTCTTTACATCCAGTTGTAGACTGTCAGCCTCTTCTGCCTTCCCAGAAATGGGTGTAAACGATGTCTGATCTTTGATGGGGGCAGGATACCAGCAGCTGTCTAGAACGAGGGTATATTTTAAGCATCACTGCTAGGTAGAGACAGGGACCTATAATTGTGTTATTAAGCTTGACAAGAACAATTCTATTGACGCAGTTTTTGTCCACAGATGAGCTGAGAGAATACTGCACCACCCAACAACTTACGCAGAAAGAATACGAAGAGAGGTTGAAGATTACATCAGAGAGACCATTGTTTACGTCTATTGTAGCCCAAGTTGTCTGCACATTAGCCAGGGTTCACTGTGATATACCTATTTCACCTCTGAGTAGCAGCCTCTGAGTGTGTGCTGACATGCTACCAGTCACCTCAGACATGCCGCCGCCATATATTTCAACATTCCAACATTCCACAGTAACATATTAGAGCAATGAACGCTTCTCTGAGGGTTAAAACCTCAAAACTCTTCCAGTCTTCGCCAAACACCTGGATCCTGACCCTCTCACCTTCACTCTCCTTCCAGACTTGTAGTCAGACACAATTTAACTTTCAATCTCCCAGACTTGTAGTGAGACACATTTTAACTCTCAATCTCCCAGACTTGTAGTGAGACACAATTCAACTCTCAATCTCCCAGACTTGTAGTGAGACACAATTCAACTCTCAATCTCCCAGACTTGTAGTGAGACACAATTCAACTCTCAATCTCCCAGACTTGTAATCAGACACAATTTAACTCTCAATCTCCCAGACTTGTAATCAGACACAATTCAACTCTCAATCTCCCAGACTTGTAGTGAGACACAATTCAACTCTCAATCTCCCAGACTTGTAATCAGACACAATTTAACTCTCAATCTCCCAGACTTGTAATCAGACACAATTCAACTCTCACTCTCCCAGACTTGTAGTGAGACACAATTCAACTCTCAATCTCCCAGACTTGTAATCAGACACAATTCAACTCTCAATCTCCCAGACTTGTAATCAGACACAATTCAACTCTCAATCTCCCAGACTTGTAGTCAGACACAATTCAACTCTCAATCTCCCAGACTTGTAGTCAGACACAATTCAACTCTCAACTTCCCAGACTTGTAGTGAGACACAATTTAACTCTCAATCTCCAAGGGCCCTAAGGATGGGAAACATATATAATGCCTCAGGGCAGATAAATTCTCATGTCTCCCATATTAATTCCACTAAAACATGTGGATGTGTAATATTGTAGTGTTGTTAGAGTGGATTACGGTTTATATATGTTGGATATCATGGTGTTTTGTTTGTCAGGAAACTGTAGTGGGAAATCCATTGTAAGGAGTAGTGCAGGCTCGACCCTCCGTCTGTTGATTACTGATGGTGACTCGTTCAAGGCAGGAAATATAGAAATAAGACATAGAGTGATATAGCAGTTCTTGAAATTATCAGGTGCCATTAAGATTGCTCCTACTGACGTAACGAGTGCCTAATTACGGCGTAGGTACGGTGTTTTAATCGGGATCCGCCAACTCAAGGAACGTCTCTCTCTCTTAATCCGCGCTGACACTCGCCTGTGCCTACCAGGGTATGTCATCTGTCAGCCAGTGTGTCAGATGTGCTTCTGACAGTCGTCATGAACGTGTCTGGAGTCAGGCAGCAGCTGGGGACTGATGTCAGCAGTAACATCAGCTCAGATACCGCGATGTCAGACAACACTGACAGTACCTCAGTAAGTATTCACCTATTTACTTATCTAATTGTGGTTGCAGGGGTCGATTCACAGCTCCTGACCCCGCCTCTTCACTGGTCACTACTAGGTCACTCTTCCTGCTCCATGAGCCTTAACATACCTCTTCTTAAAGCTATGTATGGATCCTGCCTCCACTATATCACACTCCAGATTGTTCCACTTCCTGACTACTCTGTGGCTGAAGAAATACTTCCTAACATCCCTGTGACTCATCTGAGTCTTCAACTTCCAGTTGTGTCCCCTTGTTGTTGTGTCCCCTTGTTACTGTGTCCCCTTGTTACTGTGTCCCATTGTTACTGTGTCCCATTGTTACTGTGTCCCCTTGTTACTGTGTCCCATTGTTACTGTGTCCCCTTGTTGCTGTGTCCCATTGTTACTGTGTCCCCTTGTTACTGTGTCCCCTTGTTACTGTGTCCCATTGTTACTGTGTCCCCTTGTTACTGTGTCCCATTGTTACTGTGTCCCCTTGTTACTGTGTCCCATTGTTACTGTGTCCCATTGTTACTGTGTCCCCTTGTTACTGTGTCCCATTGTTACTGTGTCCCATTGTTACTGTGTCCCCTTGTTACTGTGTCCCATTGTTACTGTGTCCCCTTGTTACTGTGTCCCATTGTTACTGTGTCCCATTGTTACTGTGTCCCCTTGTTACTGTGTCCCCTTGTTACTGTGTCCCATTGTTACTGTGTCCCCTTATTTCTATGTCCCTTGTTACTGTGTCCCATTTTCACTGTGTCTCATTTTTACTGTGTCCCATTGTTACTGTGTCCAATTGTTACTATGTCCCTTGTTGCTGTGTCCCATTGTTACTGTGTCCCATTGTTACTGTGTCCCATTGTTACTGTGTCCAATTGTTACTATGTCCCTTGTTGCTGTGTCCCATTGTTACTGTGTCCCATTGTTACTGTGTCCCATTGTTACTGTGTCCAATTGTTACTATGTCCCTTGTTGCTCTGTCCCATTGTTACTGTGTCCTATTGTTACTGTGTCCCATTTTTACTGTGTCCCCTTGTTACTGTGTCCCATTGTTACTATGTCCTTGTTGCTGTGTCCCATTGTTACTATGTCCTTGTTGCTGTGTCCCATTGTTACTATGTCCTTGTTGCTGTGTCCCATTGTTACTATGTCCTTGTTGCTGTGTCCCATTGTTACTATGTCCTTGTTGCTGTGTCCCATTGTTACTATGTCCTTGTTGCTGTGTCCCATTGTTACTATGTCCTTGTTGCTGTGTCCCATTGTTACTATGTCCTTGTTGCTGTGTCCCATTGTTACTATGTCCTTGTTGCTGTGTCCCATTGTTACTATGTCCTTGTTGCTGTGTCCCATTGTTACTATGTCCTTGTTGCTGTGTCCCATTGTTACTATGTCCTTGTTGCTGTGTCCCATTGTTACTATGTCCTTGTTGCTGTGTCCCATCTCTAAAACATTCCATCCCTATCCACCTTGTCAATTCCTCACAGTACTTTATACGTCATTATCATGTGTGTGCTTACATATTTGTGTACATATATATATATATATATATATATAATATATATATATATATATATATATATATATATATATATATATATATATATATATACATATATATATATATATATATATATATATATATATATATATATATATATATATATACATGTAAATTCCCTTGTGTTGCAGGTAGTGTGGAGTACGTGGGCAGGTGTGGCCCTTGCTGCCCTGCAGGTGGGTATGTTCATGGTTGGGGTACTGGGCAACGTAACTGTTGCAGCCTCAGTGTGGAGACGAAGAACTGGACACCAGCAACAGTTGGCTGCTCATCGCCTTGACCTCCTGCTTTCTTTGGCACTAGCAGATCTGCTGGTGACTCTGCTGTGTCTGCCTGCTGCCACATCGCGTTTCTTGGCACTGTCGTGGTCAGTGCCCTGGGTATTGTGGTGCCCGTTATTGTCTGCTGCTCAGAATACTGCGCATGCCGCTTCGACTCTCTCCTTGACACTATTGGCTCTTGACCGATACCTGACCGTGCGACGGCCAAAGTTGGCACCTCGGGTGTCAGCAGTGACGGCGCAGCTACTGGTGGCATTGTGGCTAGCAGCGGCACTGATGGCACTTCCACGAGGCCTAGCAGCTAGGCTTCAAGCTCCTGGCCCCGTGTGTCGGGAGGTGTGGCCCTTCCCAGCTGCTGGTATTGTGTATCACACTGCCATCGCCGCTATAGTGCACCTAGTGCCTTGTGCTGCGGTCGTGCTGTGCCATGCTGCGGTTGCCGCATCGTTGAGGCGCAGGGGCAAAGACGACACAAGGCTCAACCTGCGTCCACGACAGGTTATTATAATGGCTCGGGATTGTAGTCTCGGAGGCGCCAATAACCACAAGATTATTGCTGCCTCGTCAAGTGGTGAATCCGAAGAAGAGGAGAGAGCGGCTCTGAAGGTTCCTGATGGTACCATGCCCCATGGCTCTAGGGACGTGGGCAGGGGTAGAGGGCCACTGCTGCCAGCCAGGGCCATGGCTACCATGAAGCCTTCCAAGGACATCCACACCATCATCCGCGCCCACCGCCGCATGCGGATGAAGGGTCCTACCCACACACCTTCCATCTTCACCTCGTATCGCGGACATTCTGTGGCGACTCGCCGAAGACTTGCCCGGTTATTAGTGGCCCTTGGCGCATTATTCGCCACTTGCTGGACGCCTTACGTAGTGGCACTCGTCGTTTGGGCATGTAGGGAGTCCCCGGGCACCCAGCATGCCCTGGAAGTCACCCTGGTGCTAGGACATGCCCACTCTGCTGTAAACCCGGTAGTCTACTGGCTCATGAACCGAGCATTCCTCTCGTCTCTACACCACTACCTTTCTGTCCAGTGGCATTTACCAGAGGCACTGTCCTGTGCCCGGTGCCCGAGACCTGCTTGCATCACGCGCCCTCATGCACCTCCCTGGGCACCTAATTCCTCTACCAACGAAGATAACCTAGGCCCTTTTCACCCAAAGTATCTGAATCCACATACACTCAGGCCTCAGATATCCCGCTGTACCTCACACTATTTCCACTAGTTGTGGTATATATATACATCCACAGGTCTATATCACATATATACACACACAGAGTTGTGTATCTCAATGTATATAACCTATCTACTACACCAGGGTCATTAATTTAAGTTAGGTTTATTGAAGTTAATCGTGTTTAAGTCAGTTGTTTTGCTTGGGAGAGTCTGTGGGAGTCTGTGGGAGTCTGTGAGAGTCAGGGAGAGTCTGGGAGAGTCAGGGAGAGTCTGTGAGAGTCAGTGAGAGTCTGGGAGAGTCTGTGAGAGTCTGTGAGAGTCTGTGAGAGTCAGGGAGAGTCAGGGAGAGTCTGTGAGAGTCTGTGGGAGTCTGTGGGAGTCTGTGAGAGTCTGGGAGAGTCTGTGAGAGTCAGGGAGAGTCAGGGAGAGTCTGTGAGAGTCTGTGGGAGTCTGTGGGAGTCTGGGAGAGTCTGTGAGAGTCAGGGAGAGTCAGGGAGAGTCTGTGGGAGTCTGTGGGAGTCTGTGGGAGTCTGTGAGAGTCTGGGAGAGTCGGTGAGAGTCAGGGAGAGTCAGGGAGAGTCTGTGAGAGTCTGTGGGAGTCTGTGGGAGTCTGTGAGAGTCTGTGAGAGTCTGTGAGAGTCAGGGAGAGTCAGGGAGAGTCTGTGAGAGTCTGTGGGAGTCTGTGGGAGTCTGTGAGAGTCTGTGGGAGTCTGTGAGAGTCAGGGAGAGTCTGGGAGAGTCTGTGAGAGTCTGTGGGAGTCTGTGGGAGTCTGTGGGAGTCTGTGGGAGTCTGTGAGAGTCTGTGGGAGTCTGTGAGAGTCAGGGAGAGTCTGGGAGAGTCTGTGAGAGTCTGTGAGAGTCTGTGAGAGTCAGGGAGAGTCAGGGAGAGTCTGTGAGAGTCTGTGGGAGTCTGTGGGAGTCTGTGAGAGTCTGGGAGAGTCTGTGAGAGTCTGTGAGAGTCTGTGAGAGTCTGTGAGAGTCAGGGAGAGTCAGGGAGAGTCTGTGAGAGTCAGTGGGAGTCTGTGAGAGTCAGGGAGAGTCTGCGAGAGTCTGTGAGAGTCTGTGAGAGTCTGTGAGAGTCAGGGAGAGTCTGGGAGAGTCTGTGAGAGTTTGTGAGAGTCTGTGAGAGTCAGGGAGAGTCTGGGAGAGTCTGTGAGAGTCTGTGAGAGTCTGTGGGAGTCTGTGAGAGTCTGGGAGAGTCTGGGAGAGTCTGTGAGAGTCTGTGGGAGTCTGTGAGAGTCTGGGAGAGTCTGGGAGAGTCTGTGGGAGTCTGTGGGAGTCTGTGAGAGTCAGGGAGAGTCTGGGAGAGTCTGTGAGAGTCTGTGAGAGTCAGGGAGAGTCAGGGAGAGTCTGTGAGAGTCTGTGGGAGTCTGTGAGAGTCAGGGAGAGTCTGGGAGAGTCTGTGAGAGTCTGTGAGAGTCTGTGAGAGTCAGGGAGAGTCTGGGAGAGTCTGTGAGAGTCTGTGAGAGTCTGTGAGAGTCAGGGAGAGTCTGGGAGAGTCTGTGAGAGTCTGTGAGAGTCTGTGGGAGTCTGTGAGAGTCTGAGAGAGTCTGGGAGAGTCTGTGAGAGTCTGTGGGAGTCTGTGGGAGTCTGTGAGAGTCTGAGAGAGTCTGTGAGAGTCAGGGAGAGTCAGGGAGAGTCTGTGAGAGTCTGTGGGAGTCTGTGGGAGTCTGTGAGAGTCTGTGAGAGTCTGTGAGAGTCAGGGAGAGTCAGGGAGAGTCTGTGAGAGTCTGTGGGAGTCTGTGGGAGTCTGTGAGAGTCTGTGGGAGTCTGTGAGAGTCAGGGAGAGTCTGGGAGAGTCTGTGAGAGTCTGTGGGAGTCTGTGGGAGTCTGTGGGAGTCTGTGGGAGTCTGTGAGAGTCTGTGGGAGTCTGTGAGAGTCAGGGAGAGTCTGGGAGAGTCTGTGAGAGTCTGTGAGAGTCTGTGAGAGTCAGGGAGAGTCAGGGAGAGTCTGTGAGAGTCTGTGGGAGTCTGTGGGAGTCTGTGAGAGTCTGGGAGAGTCTGTGAGAGTCAGGGAGAGTCAGGGAGAGTCTGTGAGAGTCAGTGGGAGTCTGTGAGAGTCAGGGAGAGTCTGCGAGAGTCTGTGAGAGTCTGTGAGAGTCTGTGAGAGTCAGGGAGAGTCTGGGAGAGTCTGTGAGAGTTTGTGAGAGTCTGTGAGAGTCAGGGAGAGTCTGGGAGAGTCTGTGAGAGTCTGTGAGAGTCTGTGGGAGTCTGTGAGAGTCTGGGAGAGTCTGGGAGAGTCTGTGAGAGTCTGTGGGAGTCTGTGAGAGTCTGGGAGAGTCTGGGAGAGTCTGTGGGAGTCTGTGGGAGTCTGTGAGAGTCAGGGAGAGTCTGGGAGAGTCTGTGAGAGTCTGTGAGAGTCAGGAAGAGTCAGGGAGAGTCTGTGAGAGTCTGTGGGAGTCTGTGAGAGTCAGGGAGAGTCTGGGAGAGTCTGTGAGAGTCTGTGAGAGTCTGTGACAGTCAGGGAGAGTCTGGGAGAGTCTGTGAGAGTCTGTGAGAGTCTGTGGGAGTCTGTGAGAGTCTGGGAGAGACTGGGAGAGCCTGTGAGAGTCTGTGGGAGTCTGTGAGAGTCTGGGAGAGTCTGTGAGAGTCTGTGAGAGTCTGTGAGAGTCTGTGAGAGTCTGTGGGAGTCTGTGAGAGTCTGAGAGAGTCTGTGAGAGTCTGTGAGAGTCTGTGAGAGTCTGTGAGAGTCTGTGAGAGTCTGTGAGAGTCTGTGGGAGTCTGTGAGAGTCAGGGAGAGTCTGGGAGAGTCTGCGAGAGTCTGTGAGAGTCTGTGAGAGTCTGTGAGAGTTTGTGAGAGTCTGTGAGAGTCTGGGAGAGTCTGGGAGGGTCTGTGAGAGTCTGTGAGAGTCTGTGAGAGTCTGAGAGAGTCTGGGATAATCTGAGATAGTTTGGAATAATCTGGGATAGTCTTGGAGAGTCTGGGAGAGTCTGTGAGAGTCTGTGAGAGTCTGTAAGAGTCTGTGAGAGTCAGGGAGAGTCTGGGAGAGTCTGTGAGAGTCTGTGAGAGTCTGTGAGAGTCTGTGAGAGTTTGTGAGAGTCTGGGAGAGCCTGGGAGGGTCTGTGAGAGTCTGTGAGAGTCTGTGAGAGTCTGAGAGAGTCTGTGAGAGTCTGTAAAAGTCTGTGAGAGTCTGTGAGAGTCTGTGAGAGATTGTGAGAGTCTGTGAGTGTCTGTGAGAGTCTGGGATAATCTGAGATAGTCTGGAATAGTCTGGGATAGTCTTGGAGAGTCTGGGAGAGTCTGTGAGAGTCTGTGAGAGTCTGTGAGAGTCTGTGAGAGTCTGTGAAAATCTGTGAGAGTCTGGGAGAGTCTGGGAGAGTCTGTGAGAGTTTGTGAGAGTCTGTGAGAGTCTGTGAGAGTCTGTGAGAGTTTGGGAGAGTCTGTGAGAGTCTGGGAGAGTCTGGGAGGGTCTGTGAGAGTCTGTGAGAGTCTGAGAGAGTCTGAGAGAGTTTGTGAGAGTCTGTGAGAGTCTGTGAGAGTCTGTGAGAGTCTGTGAGAGTCAGGGAGAGTTTGTGAGAGTCTGTGAGAGTCTGTGGGAGTCTGTGAGAGTCAGGGAGAGTCTGGGAGAGTCTGTGAGAGTCTGTGAGTGTCTGTGGGAGTCTGTGAGAGTCAGGGAGAGTCTGTGGGAGTCTGTGAGAGTCAGGGAGAGTCTGTGGGAGTCTGTGAGAGTCAGGGAGAGTCTGGGAGAGTCTGTGAGAGTCTGTGGGAGTCTGTGAGAGTCAGGGAGAGTCTGGGAGAGTCTGTGAGAGTCTGTGAGAGTGTGTGGGAGTCTGTGAGAGTCAGGGAGAGTCTGTGGGAGTCTGTGAGAGTCAGGGAGAGTCTGGGAGAGTCTGTGAGAGTCTGTGAGAGTCTGTGGGAGTCTGTGAGAGTCAGGGAGAGTCTGGGAGAGTCTGTGAGAGTCTGTGAGAGTCTGTGAGAGTCAGGGAGAGTCTGGGAGAGTCTGTGAGAGTCTGTGAGAGTCTGTGGGAGTCTGTGAGAGTCAGGGAGAGTCTGGGAAAGTCTGTGAGAGTCAGGGTGAATCTGTGGGAGTCTGTGAGAGTCAGGGAGAGTCTGGGAGAGTCTGTGAGAGTCTGTGGGAGTCTGTGAGAGTCAGGGAGAGTCTGGGAGAGTCTGTGAGAGTCTGTGAGAGTCTGTGGGAGTCTGTGAGAGTCAGGGAGAGTCTGTGGGAATCTGTGAGAGACAGGGAGAGTCTGGGAGAGTCTGTGAGAGTCTGTGAGAGTCTGTGGGAGTCTGTGAGAGTCAGGGAGAGTCTGGGAGAGTCTGTGAGAGTCTGTGAGAGTCTGTGAGAGTCAGGGAGAGTCTGGGAGAGTCTGTGAGAGTCTGTGAGAGTCTGTGGGAGTCTGTGAGAGTCAGGGAGAGTCTGGGAGAGTCTGTGAGAGTCTGTGAGAGTCTGTGGGAGTCTGTGAGAGTCTGGGAGAGTCTGGGAGAGTCTGTGAGAGTCTGTGGGAGTCTGTGAGAGTCTGGGAGAGTCTGTGAGAGTCTGTGAGAGTCTGTGAGAGTCTGTGAGAGTCTGTGGGAGTCTGTGAGAGTCTGAGAGAGTCTGTGAGAGTCTGTGAGAGTCTGTGAGAGTCTGTGAGAGTCTCTGAGAGTCTGTGTGAGTCTGTGGGAGTCTGTGGGAGTCTGTGAGAGTCAGGGAGAGTCTGGGAGAGTCTGTGAGAGTCTGTGAGAGTCTGTGAGAGTCAGGGAGAGTCAGGGAGAGTCTGTGATAGTCTGGGAGAGTCTGGGAGGGTCTGTGAGAGTCTGTGAGAGTCTGTGAGAGTCTGAGAGAGTCTGTGAGAGTCTGTAAGAGTCTGTGAGAGTCTGTGAGAGTCTGTGAGAGTTTGTGAGAGTCTGTGAGAGTCTGTGAGAGTCTGGGATAATCTGAGATAGTCTGGAATAATCTGGGATAGTCTTGGAGAGTCTGGGAGAGTCTGTGAGAGTCTGTGAGAGTCTGTGAGAGTCTGTGAGAGTCAGGGAGAGTCTGGGAGAGTCTGTGAGAGTCTGTGAGAGTCTGTGAGAGTCTGTGAGAGTTTGTGAGAGTCTGTGAGAGTCTGGGAGAGCCTGGGACGGTCTGTGAGAGTCTGAGAGAGTCTGTGAGAGTCTGAGAGAGTCTGTGAGAGTCTGTAAAAGTCTGTGAGAGTCT